AATTAAAAATGGGACCTCTTCAAACTTAGAAGCTTCTGTAAGGCAAAGGACACAGTCGACAAGACCAAATGGCAGCCCACAGACTGGGAAAAGATTTTCACCAATCCTATATCCGACAAAGGGCTGATCTCCGAAATACACAAAGAACCATTGTTTTTTTCAAAGAAAGATGTATGTATCCCCGCAGGCCAGAAGAGGTCACTAGATCTCATTACAGATGGTTGTGAGCCACTATGTGGTTGCTGGGAATTGAATTCAGAACATCTGGAAGAGCAGTCAGTGCTATTAACCTCTAAGCCATCTCTCCAGCCCTCATATAACTCATTTTTGTTTTTTTGTTTTTCAAGATAGGGTTTCTCTGTGTAACTTTGGAGCATGTCCTGGAACTTGCTCTGTAGACCAGGCTGGCCATGAACTCACAAAACTACGCCTGCCTCTGCCTCCTGAGTGCTGGGATTAAAGGCATGTGCCACCATTGCCTGGCAAATTTTTCAATAATGTGAGGCATTAAGTTTTTAGAACTTTTCTATTTTTATATAAATTATAGCTATCAACAAACTTGGGATAATAATAATTGGAAATTTTGAGAACTTCAAACATGACCACCCAATATATTAAAAATATTTTCTCAGAAGGCCTGTTTTCAAGGCAATTTTTTCTTTTTTAATTTTTTTTATTTTACATATTGATCCCAGTTCCCTCTTCCTCCCTCTCTCCTTCCCTCCCTCTCTCCCTTCCTCCCATGCCCCTCCCACCCCTACCTACCCCCCCCCCCCCCCCCCCCGCCGACCACCTTCCCATTCCATTCCACCCCCCACTCCACAGGGAGGGTGATGACTTCCAGGAGGGATCAACAAAATCTGTCAAGTCATTTGGAGTAGGGACTAGGCCTGTTAAGAGTAAGTTTTCCCTGCCAGTCTGGTCCCACTGCCGTGCCAGCCCCAAATACCACAAAGAAACACGGTATTAAATATAAAACTGTTAGCATGATACTAGTGTTTCTTATCAGCTAGCTCTGTCTTAAATATTAACCCATTTCTATTAATCTAAATATTTCCACGTAGTTTCATTTTACCAGAGAGAGGGCCCGGACCTCTGTTCTCTTAAGTCTCTACATGTTCACTCCTCCCTACTACTTCCTCGAATCCTCCTTGTTTCCTAGTCCCACTTATCTTGCTTTCCTATTGGCCAACAGTACTTTATTCATTAACCAATAAGAGAAACATAGTTACAGAATGACATCTCCCATCATAGGCTCTCCTTCCTGTCAAGGCATTTTTCTAATTTCATTTCTGTTGCTGTGTTGAAATATCCAGACAAAAAGCAATGTATTGGATAAAGGATTTATTTGGCTTACAATTCGAGGTCACAGTACATGGCAAGGCAGGAACTCAAGTAGTCATATCTACAGTCAAGATCAAAGAGACGATATACATATTCTTGGTTGCTTGCTTTCATCTAGCATTCTCCTGCCTATAAAGTACAAGATCCCCTACCTAGGGAATGGCAGCACCCAAAATAGGCTGGGTCTTTCTACATTACTTAATGTCCCAGAGAATCTCCCAGCAACATCGCTACAGGCCAATCCAATCTTGATAATTTCTCATTAAGACTCTCTTCCCAAGTGATTGTAGGTTGTGGCAAGTTGACATTAAAATGAACCAGCAGAAAGATTAATTGTTTTGTTATTGCTGCTGTTCTCAAGACCACTTCTCTTAAGGTGAAATTCAAAGTAGAGCACAGAACTCTAATAAGTGCTGATGGTTGCCCCCCCACCATGTATTATGTCTCAATATACAGGAAAAATTGTTTTCTCCAGTATCTTTCAACCAATTTGGGAAAGATGTGAACTCTTAAAATCATTTCCTAAATTCTATTTTTAGATGAATATGAAAACAGGAAGAGGATGGTTGGATACTGGAAATGCTCCAATTGCTGATGAATTTTTTCAAGCTGCCATGGCTGTAAGTTCGTATTGATTTTTTAGCTGTGGCAATTATTAGTAACATCTGTGATAAGTCTCATGCTTGTGTTGTTTTATTTTCCAGGATCTGGAGAAATTATATGTCAAATTAGTACAGAGCTGCTACACTGAAGCCGATTTGATCATGCATAAGATCACCGTGGAGAAGGGTATCTTCCGTGTGCTTTCTTATCAAGCTGAGTCAGTAGGTATCAAATACTGGGGCCTTACAACAGAACATCTTGTATATATGTAAATGTAAAAGTGATAAGATATGTCCTTGTCTTCTTATAGGATATTATAGTGTGATAGTTGATATTACTAGTTAATCTATATAGGTAAATGAGGGTGAAAAGAAAGATAATACCCAAGCATAATTTTTAACCAATTCTCTTACCATCTGCTATTTATTAATGGCAACAACTTTTACTTGAAATACTGCCTCTGAGAGTCTTGTTCTAAACTATTTTTTTTCGTGTGTGTGTGTGTTATGTATGAAGCATGTATGTGAGTGTGTGGGGAGGGCATGCCTTTGTGTGCACATGCAGAGAGCCTGGAGTAAGACATCGAGTGTCTTCCTTTATCATATCTGCCTTCATCACTTGAAATTGGGCTTCTTACTGGACCAGAAGCTTGTTGTTTGGACTAGGCTGATTGACCTTGTATGTGCTGGGTATTTGAACTCAGCCCTTACGCTTGGAGAGTAATTGCTTTTACATACTGAGACATCTACCCAGCCTTAAGATTCTCTTACTTTCCCTGCGTTCTTTAAATAGTTGGCCTCAAAGGTGTCTCCTCATTTATAATTATTCTGTGTTGTTCATTGATACTTTAAAAAGTCTGCTGGCTGGGCAGTGGTGGCACACGCCTTTGATCCTAGCACTTGGGAGGCAGAGACAGGTGAATCTCTGTGAGTTCGAGGCCAGCCTGATCTACAAGAGCTAGTTCCAGGACAGCTTCCAAAGCCACAGAGAGCCCTGACTCGAAAAACAAAACAAAAGGTCTGCTGGTATTATGTACATATTAAAACTTTAAAATTATACTTTTTCATTTGTTGCTTTATCAGATTTCCTGTTTTGACATTATGGAGTTAGGTGTGCATTTTTAGTTGGCAAAATGTAACCTGTGATGAGTTTGCCTATAGTAATTTTAGGAATGAAAGAGCCCTTAAAATATAATCTTACTAGTTTAACATCTTTATTGACTTATAATTTCTATACCATAAAATGCATCTACTTGTATTAGTGATTTTAACATATTTATAGAATCATATAGTGATCATCACAGTCTGAATTTGTACATATTCTGTTCCATGATGAATCATCCTACCCATTTCTCCTGATCCCAGTCTTTATAAGCATAAGTCAACTTTCTGTCTATAAATTTGCCTATTCTGGACATTTCATGCAAGTAGAGACATACAGCAAGTGATCTATGTGATTAATTTCTTTATTTAGTGTCAGGGTACACCATGTAGTGAGGGTTAGTTGAAGAAAGAAGGCACTCCAAGATGAAATTTTAAGGCCTATGTGGCAGCAGGGAGAGCCCGCCTTTCAGAACTGAACCCTGAACAGTCATACAAAGGCATATTTATTCATTGTTATACAAAGTACTTCCTCATACCAAGGTCCCTAACCTAGTTTACATGTCTTACTAAAGGACAGCATCACATGCCCCAATGACTCTAGTCCTTTATCATGTATTGTTTACAATACACAATAATTCAAGAACCTCGGGTGTGCCTGAGTCATCATGTGTCTAAAATCATGGGATGGCTGCGATGCCCCTTCAGCAAGACAGTTCTACAGATCATGGGAAATAATCACTGTTTTCTACAAGTATTCTTTAAGGTCAAAATGCTTCTAGAAAACAGCTAGCTGCTCATTGTAATTTAGTATAATTGTTTAAGGTTCAATCATGTTACATCATGTTTCACTTTGCAGATATGCTCTGTTTATTTATCCACTCATCCATTGATAGACATTTGATTCATTTCCAATTTGGTTAGCATGCATTATTCTACCACGAACACTCATGTGCAGAATTTTGTGTGTATATGTTTTAATTTCTCTTGGGTATATACCTAGAAGTGGAATTGCTGAGTAGCATTATAACTATTTTAGAGTTAGCAACTTTTTTTTTGAGTTTTTGAGACAGAGTTTCTCTGTGTAGCTTTGTTGACCAGACTGACCTGCAGCTCACAGAGATCCACCTGCCTCTGCCTCCCCAGTGCTGGGATTAAATTTGTGTGCACCATAGCTTGGTAAGTTAGCAACTTTTTTGAGAAAGTGCCAGGTTATCTTCCAAAGTTGGCTATGTCATTTTACATTTCTACCAGTAGTGATGGGAGCTCTAGTTTCTCCATATCTAAAAGTTTGATGGTTTCAAGTAATTATAATTAAGTTCATGATCCATTTTTAATTTATTTCTAGGCATGAAGAGAGACAGATACCTAACTCCATTCTTTTTTGTGCACATTGCTATCCAACTATCTCAAATGTCACTTGTTGAGAAACTGTTTCCTTGTTAAGTAATCTTGGTAACTGTCAAAAATAAGTTGATCACAAATGTGAGGGCTTATTTTTCGTCTGTTCTACTATGTTGGTTGGATGTCTCTGTCTTTGTGCTAATATCGGACTGTCCTGATGATTGTAATTGTATAGTAAGTTTGAAATTAGGAAGTATGTGTTATACAGTTTTTCAATATTGTTTTGAGTATTTTGCATTTTTATATGAATTTTAGGATCAAATTGTCACTTTATACAAAGAAGCTGGCTATAATTATGATAGGGATAGAGTTATATCCATAGACCATGTTGATGGGTATTGCTATCTTCAAAGTATAAAGTGTTCTGATATACAAACATTTATATATATATATATATATATATATATATATTTTTTTTTTTTTGAGGCAGTGTCTCATTATGTATGTAGCTCTGTTTGGCCTGAAACTCAATATGTAGACCAGTTTGGCCTTGAGCTCACAGAGATTGCCTCTTCCTCCTGAGTGCTGGGAATCAAGTGTGTACCACCATGTCTGGCAGTGGGCAAAGAGACACCTTGTTGGTAATGTTGCTCTAATATCAGCCAGGGCATAGCAGATGACTTTTTTTTATTCATCCTAGTTGATGCCTGGCTTGATGGCCAAGGCTATTTCATGCCTAGGGCACATAAAGAGAGAAAGAAAAAAATTTAAATAGACACATAATTTATGTTTTGATATATGTGTATATTGTACATTGTTCAAATCAGGGTATGTTCTATTTTGTGATGATGAAATTGAAGTTCATAGAGGAGACATTATTTACCTGAAGATCCAAGACCAGAATCAAAATGTTCATTTTTTCTTTAACTTTTTGAGAATTTTACATATGAGTACTGTACTTAAATCATTTCCATCCCTCCTTCTCTCCTCTCTCTTTTCATGTCTCCTCCCCGTGAAACTATTGACCTTTTCTTCTCCCCGTGAAACTATTGACCTTTTCTTCTTTATTGTTTTACACACACACACACACACACACACACACACACATACACACACCCTGCTGAGTCCATTTGGTGTTGTTCATATATATGTGTTTAGGGTTGACCACTTGGGATTGGATAAACTGTTAATGCACTGGTATATCAACTGGTGGTGTCATTATATGTGTAGGTCCCGTTTAGGCAACCATGTTGTTGAGATTTTATTGATGTGTCTTCCCTGTCATACACATCTATCTGTCTGTCTTTCCGTCCGTCAATCCGTCCGTTCGTCCGTCCATCCATCCATTCATCCCAAGAGAAATCCTTGTCCTCTGGTTCTTACATTCTTTCTGCCCCCTCTTCTGCAATGGGGTTGCATTTTAGATGTCTTTATTGGGGTTGGGCACTCCATGGCCTTAAGTCCAGTTAAATGGCTTCTGATTACCTCCAAGATATAAATGCCACTAGAGCAAATGAGATTGATCATACATATGAATTTCTTCTTCATAATTTTTATCTTGCCTTTTCTTGTTAACATCCTTTGTGAACTACTTAAAGTTAATTAATGAAATACTGATATAAAGTCTAGCAGGTCTTGGACTTATTATTATTATTATTATTGAAATAGGATATGTAGGCTAGCCTTGAACTCTTAATCCTCTTGCCTTAGTCTCCTGGGTGAAAGTTAGGTGTATGCCGCCATGATCAGTTTTACACTTTAATAATTACCAATTTGTTCTATGCCTTCAAACTGTTGCTTGACATTTTTAGTCTATAAAAGCCAATATTTTGATTAAGCAAGTAACTATATATGTACAAGACTGCCAATTGCCTATATACTAGACTGGAACAGAGCTACATTTGGCTTTACCAATTAGACATTGTCTAGAATCACCTAGGAGATAAGCCTCTGTGCATGTTTGTGAAGGATTAATCTAGATTAGGTTAGAGCTGTCTGCATGTCTGTGAGGGATTGTGAAGTTAACCATAGTAAGAAGATGCATTATGAATATGGGCAGCACAAGTTCATGAGCTCAGGTCAGGTTCTGAATAGAAAACAGAGTGAGCTGAGCACAAGCATTGATCGCTCCCTTCTTTCTGATTGTGGATACAATATGACCTCACATTTCTACCACCATGCCTTTTCCTGCTATGCTGCACTTCCCTTTGAACTGTAATCCAAAATAAATCTTTCTTTAGTTGCTTTTGTCAGGTATTAGGCCACAAGCAATGAGAAAAGCAACTAGTGCAGCCAGGAGTGCTGATTCCTTCCCATAGCCACAGTTATTCAGGAGACTGAGGCATTAAGATTCTTGTGCAGCTTGGTCCTCTTGTGGGATGTCTAACAGTGGGAGCAATGACTCTAAGACTCTTTTGTGTGCTTTTCGGACCCTAATTTTCAGAGTGGGTATCTTTGCCCAGCCTTAACACATGGGGAGGTGCTTAGTTTTAACTGCCACTTGATATGCCTTGCTTTGTTGATATCCATGGTGGACCTACCCTTTCTTAAACAGAAACAGAGGAGTGTACTGGGGAGTGGGAACAGAAGGGAGTGGTAGGAGGAAGGAGAGGAGGGAGGACAAACTGCAGCAGGGACGTTAAATAAACAAATAAATATCACTCGAGACCAGGAGTTTGAGATTAGCCTAATAACATAGTGAAAGCCTGCATCTAGCCTATTTTAATAATATTTAGGTAGTCATTTTATATTAGTTAACCACATTTTGATTATTGTGATCATTTCTAGGTATTTCACTTTAAAAATAATTGGGTAAGTGTAGAGAATATATCATGTGAAAATATTTGAAGGATATAATAATGTCTATGCTGAGAGAAACTGAGACAGTAGGAATGACAGCCTTTCTCTGAATGTTTTAAGAACTAAGGACTAAAATATTGAGGAGCAATCAAACTTCACAGTAATGAGAATTATGTAATTATAACTGAGTGATGATGACATCTTTAAAAAGGCACAACACTGATAATTGAACAGAGGGTCTTGGGGATGGTAGGCGTGTAACTCTACAACAAATTAATCCCCAACCCTCGTTTTGGGGATTTTGTGAGGCAAGGGCTTTCTATTGTAGCCTTGGCTAGTCTGAAACTCACTGAGATCCACCTGCCTCTGCCTCCCAAGTGCTGGAATTAAAGGTGTGTACTACACTCAGTTCCAACCCCCCCCCCCCGCCTTTTTTGTTTTTTTGAGACAGGGTTTCTCTGTATTGCTCTGGAACTACTCCTGGAACTCGCTCTGTAGACCTGGCTGGCCTTGAACTCACAGAGATCGGCCTGCTTCCTGAGTGCTTGAATTAAAGGCATGCACCTGTAGCGCTACGGTCTGTTTCATGAATCAGGTGAAGGCATAGAGATTGAAATAAGAGATGAGACAGCGGGTCATTCGTTCAATGGCAATGTCGGAATGCTGAATGTCATTTATTGAGGTGATGGAGTGGGCTTATATACTGACTTACAGAACAGTGTAAAATAACAGGATTTTCAGGCTTAGGTCCTCCCAGCCAGGTATGTGTTAGCAAAACAGGAGGAGTACCAATGATAACTTATTGGCAAATGATATTTTTAAAGGCCATTGTTAAAATTATTATTATTACACAGTAATATATAATACTGTATATTATATAGTATGCATTATGTTAATGGGGTTTATCTTTCCCAATAAATAGCTTATGAGATATTCCTTAGAGATTTAACTGACTTTATCCTTTTTTAGGTACTTATCATTGAACTAGTTGGATAATTGCTTTGATTTTTATTTATTAAATTATTCATCAGACAATATCTAGAATGATCAGAGTACTTTGCTAGGATTCTGAGGGTGGACTTGTCAATTTGACAGTATTTAGAATCACCTAGGAGACACACCCAAGCCTGCTTGTGAGGGTGTTTCTGGAGAGAATTAACAGGGTAGACCTATGTTCAAAATGGGTGGAACCTGCAGGGAGTGGTCTAGATATAAAGATGTCCAAGGAAGAATCAGTGTGTGTGCACCTTCCTTCTCTTCTTCTTGATTTGGCTGCTGCTGAGACATGCCTCTCATATCAGACTTCAGATTCTTCAGCCATCCAGTATCCACTCAATCCCAGCAAACCCAGGGAGCTTTCAATAGCAGATTGGGACTGTGAAGGTATTCAGCTTCTTGGACTCAGCATCTACTCGAATTTCTGTTTGTCCAGTGTGTAGACTATGATAGAGGCCTGGCTTGTGAAGTGTTAGAGGTAAGTTTAAGAGTCCCTTAAAGGCTCTATCAGGACTGTTTAATGTGATATCTTGAATTAAGAACCTATGCTTTCTGGTCAGCTAGGGCTGAAAAATAAGCTGTGATTACCAAGAGTTCAACTGAAGTGAAACCTTTTATTTATTGAGACAATTGATGATCATTATCTGGGACTGAAGCTTCAGCCAGCATCATTGAGGTGAAATCTTCTGGAAAGTATCTTCTCAGGGTCAGCATGCAGAGCTGTAGTCCAGAAAGGATCAGGGATACATCCCAAGGTGGCAACCAAGTTTGTTAATTTGTAAGAATATGTTACTGGGTTTGACAGCATGGATTTTGCAGATTGAAGGGCTCATGAGAAGAGCTGAGGTTTGACACTGTGTGACAGAGTAGGAGTCCCTGAACAGGGGCCAGGAGAGGTCATTGCTGAAGGTGCAACCCAGTTGCAGTGAAGACCCCAGCATATGCTAGATGCCAGGATTGCAGGATGATCACCAAGGACAGCAGTAGATTTGAAGTGGAGGTAGCCTGAACCGATAAGACAAACCATCCCTCAGTCCCTCTGTCTGTCCGTGTGTCCGTGTGTCCGTGTGTGTGTGTGTGTGTGTGTGTGTGTGTGTGTGTGGAGGGTGCATGCGTGCATACGAGTGTGCAAGGGAGAGAGTCAGGGAGAGATAGAGAGAGAGAAGTCCAGAGAGATGTAGTTTCACAGACCCTTAGGATCCCAAAAGACTGAGTTTCAGACACTGGGCGACACTGAGCTATTTATACTGTTAGATTTTTGTTTTGCTTTGATTTAATTATAAATGTGCCTGGTTCTTTTCTCTTGGAATAAGAAATATGTGACTTATTTTTGATTTTATAGAAACCCACAGTTGAGAGATTTTGAACTTAAAGAGACATTGAACGCTAGGCCTGGTGGCCCATATCTTTAATTCTAGCACTTGGGAAGCAGAGGCAGGTAGATCTTTGTGAGGTCAAGGCCAGTCTGGTCTGTCCATATATGTATGTGGCAAGTTCAAGGACAGTTGTGATACACATTGAGAATACCCTTCCTCAAAAAGGAAAACAAAACAGAAAAAAAATTACCCATGAATCAAAACTAAAGAATTGGATTTTTCCCAGTCAAGTTGTGGAGTCCAGTATTGTAGTGGGATATTCACTTTGTCTCCTTCTGTGGCACTGACCATGCCTATTGGGGGGTGGGGCCAGGGACAGAAGTGACCTGTGGAATTAGGTATGAGGAGGAGCCGGGGAACGCTGTCTTGCTGGCGGGATGCGGAGAGGAGAGCATCCGGTAGAACTGGTGTTCATTTGTCTAGGTTGTAAGTTATTTCTCCTTGAATAAACATCTATTCAGCCTATTTGTTTATCCTGATCCTTATTAAATCACAATACAGTATAGCATACAGCCTTGGTCCTGATGAGATTGTTATAAAGCCTTATTAACAATGGAGTAGTCGCCAGGAAATAATCA